CTGCTCCGCTGTTAGGGGCTTGAGAGGCCGATGGCCGAACACGTCCGCCACGATTCCAACGTGATAAGCAGCCAGGAGGAACAAAGAGTGTTTCTTGAGGCAAGTGGACGAGCAGTATTGGAGCAGTGTCTCGCATTAGCCTAGCGACCGCTTCCGTGCTCGGTCGGGCGAAAGTGCAGAGCCAGACCGCTGTGGCCGGAAGCGGGTGCAGAGGCCGCCGCCCATCACCATAGCGTGCCCAGCTATGACAGAAGGCCAGAGTCACGGCTTGTGCGGCAGAGTCTGCGACCAGACGTAGGCTGACATGTAACTCTGCTGCACTGGGCTTGCTCAGAACACCAAACGGGCTGCAGGCGGATGCTCTGAGGGGTGGGCAGGTTGGGCGACGGGGACTGGATGCTGGGTGCTCTGGTGCTCGGGGAAGAACATCAGCCAGCCGCGCTATGAATGATAACGTCAAGGGCCGCTTCTGATGGATGCGTCCAACGAATGGTAGACCGTGTGCTTCTGCGTGCAATCTAACCAAACTTGAAACTCGCCAGGAAAGAACGAAGGGCAGCGCCTCCGCGCCCAGGGATGCGCCGTGTAGCCCGCAGCAGTGCGAGCACCTCGGAGCATACCTGGGCGACACCGACACGTCTGCTAGAGACTGGACGGCAGTGCGAGTAGCAAAAAAGCGACAATGGAGCTGTCCACAATCGCTGGCATCTGCATCGGGCGCATGCGGTGAGGGAGCGCAGCATCGGCTGGGTGGAGGAGGGGTCGTGGTCCGGGTGCGTGTGCTATGGCAGTAGCAAAACAAGCGTGCCTGCCTCGTTCGCACCTTAGGTAAGCGGGCCTTGTTTGTTGGGGGAGGGCGCGCCTTCCCTCTCACAAAATGTGCTGCTGAGCCCTCACCCAATTCCTCCCCTAACAAATCCGCCGCCCATACAACTTTCGCCCGCAAAGACGTTTGGTGAGTCCGCCTGCATTTTGACGAAGTCGCAACATCACCAGCACCACTTTTCGCAACCACACCCTTTTTCCACGCGTTTCCCCGGTCCAATTGGCCCAACCAGGACTCTCCCAGCCTTCTTTCTTCCGTCTTCTGAACGTCATTGCCTTCAGTCGATTCTTCATCGCCGTCGCCAGCACCCACTGCCACGCGCATACTGACCGCAAAACAGACCTCAGTCAACACTTCCAATTTACTCCCATCTAGCTGCTTCTGTAAGTACCCACACCTTCTCTTACCCGAAAATCGCGCATCATCGCGTTGTGTTGTGGTGTTTTGCGACCGCGTCACCTCACGCGCATAGCAGCGCTGCACCACCATTACCCACTCACCACAACACTACTCCGTTTGCAGGCGAAGACACTAGCTGTGGCCTATACTCGCATTCTCAATCTCACCAGCAGCCATTGTGCCTTCCTGCCACGCTACTCTTACCTACTCGCTGCTTGCAACCCCAACAGCAGCTAACAAGGAACCACAGCCATATACACCACTCAACCACCACTATGCCCAAGGAGAAGACCACCCGCAAGGCCGCGCCTAAGTCCAAGGCTGACGGCGGCAAGAAGAAGAAGGGTAAGCAGCTCACGTGCATCTGCAGACGCGGGTACTGACTCCAGCAGACCCCAACGCGCCCAAGCGTGGTCTTTCCGCATACATGTTCTTCGCCAACGAGCAGCGCGAGAAGGTCCGTGAGGACAACCCCGGTATCAAGTTCGGTACGTTTGCGCTCTTTCTCCATCTTTGACTCCCCTCTAACATTGAACAGGCGAGGTCGGCAAGGTTCTTGGCGAGAAGTGGAAGGCCCTGAACGAGAAGCAGCGCACTCCCTACGAGGCCAAGGCTGCCGCCGATAAGAAGCGGTACGAGGAGGAGAAGGCCGCCTACCAGGTATGTTCATGCATGTACTTCGAATTGATGATAAGTTGACTAACCATCACCAGAACGCCGAGGAAGAAGAGGAGGAGTCCGAGTAGAGGCAATCGCCTCATTCGTGCTTCCACCAACAGCGTTGAAGATGTCTTGTCATGGGCGGCTCGGGCTACCAAGCCTGTCTCGATTTCATTTGTGATCTTCCTACTTCTTAATGGGTTCGTTATCTCTCGCGGAGGAAGGTCTTCGGCTAGCCAATCTGTGGTTCATTTCGAAAAGGACGCTGGCGGTCAGTGCAAACCACGCTGATGGCGGGCGGTCATGATGTTTGGGCGTCTTCCCCTCGACGTCGTGAAAGGAACATCACGAAGCTCATGACCAAGTCTATGTACACTAGCAATTGCGGTATGGAAAGTCTTTGCTGCTTCTACAATGTTCCTTCTGTTGTGTGACCGTGATGTCGATGCGATCAGGCTTGGGCGTAGCACTACGCATGCTGATGGTAGCTCAGGTCCCAGCTCAGCCCCTGACGTTGAAGTTTGTGTCTTGCCTGCTGTCAAAAGTAGGCCATGACGGCGTGATAGAGACCCTTCCGTTCGTAGCAACCGGAAGTTGGCCCTCTAGCGACAGGTCTTTGACGTTTACTCACACCGCCGAACCGGGTGCCCGCATCCACGGTAGGGGTTGTTTCCCTGGCTTCACAACCACACTTTCACGAACCCCACCCCTTCAATCCACTCACTCTATCTCAAGTCGCCTATATAATGTCTCTAACTCGTTCCTAGTCCATCAATCGATCATTGCATCAAAGCGCCGTTGGGCTAGTGGTATGCTATCGCCTTCCCATCGTACATCGGACGACGGACCAGGCGGGGATCACGGGTGTAGGATGCCAAACCATTCATCAATTCGAATCTTACCGCTAACATTGAACAGTCAAACCCCGTACGGCGCATTGCTTTCTTTTTGCCGCTCTTTTACGGAAGGTGGGGGGTGTTTTTTGCCGGGGGTGTCGCGTGGGAGTGAGGTCTTAGTGATGTAGACGGAAGGTAGGTGAACGTCATTTTGGGAAGCATTGGGAAGGTGCAGGCGATTAATCTCTTGTTAGGAAATGAAGTCCTGAAGTGTGCTTAGATGTGCTCACTAGTGAATGCAAGATGCGCGTGAGGCGCTTGTCTACGGTCTAAAGAACGTAGCTGGATGAACTGGATGGCTGGTATAACTCTTCGACTTTAGTAAATATTGAACACTGTCTGGGTATGATTTGAACGCCTAGCTTTGCCGCCTCCCGACAGCAGAAACACATAGATCATGGTAGTCAAGGGGGAGACCAACCACATCGTTGCCACGTATCTTTTTCGTCCACCTTTTGCTAAGATATCGTTCGAACGTGAAAGGTACCCAATGCAAATCCGCAAGCACTACTCTCTTTGTAAAACCACCATCACACCCATCATGCCTAACATGACCTGCTTCAGCCATGGATGCTCGCTCAGCAGAATGGTAACGTATCCAACAAAGGGTATGAAGCCGACGACGCTTCCGATGACATCTTCTTTGCGGTTCAGGAAGGATTGGCCGGCGGCGTAGAGTTCGGTGTCGTCCGCGAGGTTGTTGTCGCCCTTGGTCAGGAGGCGGAGCGGTGTTTTGCTAGTAGTTGGGTCAGCATGAGCTTTGTGGTAACGTCTGAAAACCTGCGAGCTGATCTTGGCTCCTCCAACCCTCATTGAGAACCTCAGTCACAGCGAAGGGGAAAGAGCGCGACTCACCCTCCTCCATATCTCCTCACAACGCGGTGCACGATCGGAATGTCTTTGCCCTTAACGTTGTACACCACAATCTCGCCCACTTGTGTATCTGCCCCCCGGTTCCACAGGAACAGCAGATCTCCTCGTTGGAATGCAGGCTCCATGGATCCTGACAGGACGACGACAATGGGCGAGGGCGAGTCGGAGACCACGGACAGTCCTTTCCACATCATGAAGGCGGTTGACAGGACGAGCGCGAAGTTCAGAACTTGTGCGGCGAGTTGCCGCGGCTGCATGTTTGCAAGGCCCAACATGGCTGCGGATTGGGAATGCTGATGCGAAGGTTGGAGGTGCGCTCGTTGATCGTGGAGTAGGACGTGGGGCGCGCGACCGGGTCGTAAACTCGCGTCCAGAGAGTATGAATTCACCGCAGACGTATTCGGGAGGTATGTGTAGAGGTGGGCGGCGCGGCGACTTGCGCGTCGGGGAATTCGTGTTCGAGATGTTGAAGCCAGATGTCCTTGGCTTCGCCCGGGCGCTGTTGCGGGCAGCTTAGTCAACCTCCGAGGTGTGAGCTATGAACTCCGCATCCCTTCCTACTACTTGACCATAACAACATACCACACACTTCCAGATAGCGGCATACAACCCATAAGCCTCAGTCTCACCATGTATTGGTCTGACAACGGTTGACAGTGACTTTTCGCGCGTGGGGGTCTGGTTTCGTCTTTCACCTGGCATGATGGCCCTCACCTGAGCCCGCCTTTACCCTGAGAACGTATCCACACGATGTCTGCTTATATTAGGCTTCGTTTAGACGTTCACATACAACACGGCTCATTTCTTCTTCCTCTCAATAGATTGAACTTTGTTCTACAACTATCACACAACTGTCGCTCACCAGCTCTCATTCCCCTCTGCCACTCTCAAAATAAACGCCTCTATATTACATAACCAACGAGATCATGATGCGGTTCTCCCCAGGTGCCCTGATCCAGTATCGAACGCCTGCGTCATTCTTTCCACTATGGCCCGCAGTTATCTGTGAACAGGATATGGCATCCGAGGAAGTAATGGATAGGCGACCTCATGGCAATCCAACTCTGGTTTTACTGATGGGCGAGAACTTGGTCTTGTAAGAAACATTGTAGTTTGATGAATATATTGACTCCGCTAACTCAAGAAGTCGCTGGGCGCATACCGAAGAAATAGGGGAATATGACCCTTTCGCAACCTACACGCACGAGGAGGTTATCGGGACCACGCCAGGGCTTGGTGATGCATATGAGATGGCTAATAACGCGCTGGACGCGCAATTGGGACTTGATCATTGGCGAGGACAGTTGATGAATCTACCCAACGATGCTTCAGGCTTGGACACTAACATGAACGACTCGGGCGATGATTCACACTCAGATCCAGAAATGAGACAGGCTCTCCGGCTGAGCCGCGAAGAATACTATAGTGAACGGTCGAAAGGGCGAATTGCAAATAGCTTCTCACATCCACCATCCTCATCCCAGTCACCATCAAAACCAGCAAGTTCCTCGGCTAGTCGTCGCGTTCCTGTCATCTCGGGCGCCAGCAGTGCCCCAGGTGCGATCTTGAATGCATGGGAAGCACGGTCGAGACCTGCCGCCAGCTCATCGCAGCCCTCAAGAGACCATGGACAACTTCAGGCCGTACCATCCCCACAAGATCGGTTGAATATGCGCAGAGACACGCCCATAGACCTAACGGACGACAGCAGCGCCCATAACTCGACTGAGGTAAGAACGGCCGGATCGAGACAGAGACACTTTCAACAGGTAGGCTTCCTCGACCATCAGCTCGGTGGTGTGGGACGTGGTCGGAAAGAACCAATCAGCGATACCATTGAGGGTGAGCTGTGAGTTTCCTATCAATATCTCATACCCTCTCAGCTAACAGAATCTAGTTCAGAAAGCAAGGACTTCGTGCAAGTATTGGTCGGGCCTGACCAAGAAGTCTACAACCTGCAAATATCGTGTCTGTGGGACCGTCCATACTTCAGAGACTCCAAGCAGGGCCTCCTCCTGATCGACCACAATGACGCCGGGATGTGGGAGCTCAAACACCCTGCTCTTGTCGACATTAACCCCGAAGACTTCACATTCATCGCAGAATACCTAGAAAGTGATGGATTTGGTCATCGGAACCCGCAAGAGGGTGAGGAAGCGAACGAAGCCTTTGCACAATGTGTTGCGGCGTGGATCACTGCGGAGAAATTAGGCATGTGGGACATGCTGGAGCATGTCGCTGAGAAGCTGAAGGACATAAAGCCGGGGAAGTTGGAGATGTTGGTGTTCTGTCGACATGTTTACGCACAGGACACAACATCAATCTCCCACGAATATCTTAAGGGTCATTTAGCCGTATACATTGCGGACAAATTCTGGGAATACCTCAGGGACGACTACTTGAGGTCAAACTTCATTGAGGTACTGCAACACTTCCCAGAGTTGCAGCAAGACGTTTACGAGCGGAGGATTCTGGCGCTGAAAAAATGCGTTGATCAGAGTCAAGAAGATAGCGATACTGACATGGACTGAGTATGTCATGGCTCATCGGGTTGTTCTTCTGGTTTACGTGTTTCGCTCTCAAAAAGTTCAGTTGTGTTTTTCTTCTAGGTTGAGAGAGGACGAGGAACAAGTCCCTTATTATCTTCATCATTGTACTTGGAAAAGCTATTCCAGTCCCGAGAATGTCTCGCCAGAAGCCTCTTTTACATCCTTTATCCAACAGACAAGCCGAATGATTGCCCAGCTTCAATTGCAGTACCTTGAACAGTGCAAAGAACAAGCCTCAGTCGGAGTCGCTTTCGAACTCCGGAACGTTCGGATCTAGGCGAATATGGTCAGTATGCCATCTTGTTTGCCCTCTGCTCATCGCGCAGATACATACCTCGAAGCGCCATGTACTCCAACGTACCACCAGCCTTCTCCGCAAGGTTGTCCCTCACCAGCGTCAACTCCTCTTCCGAGAGCAGCGTATCTGTGTCTGCCATATCTATCGAGAGACGAATGGCCTGATTACCCGGGCCGAGCCTCGATACAAAATCCAGGAGACCATCCATGGTGAATTTGGATATACCGGAAATAGTAACGGTACGTAGATTTGGCAAGCTGGCGAGGTGAGGCAGCACAATATCGTTGAGCTCCAGGCCGCTTACGTACAAATCCTCCAGCATTGTGAGCTCAGCGAGAATGGTGACGAGATGTTCATCCCGCAGCACCTCCGGAAGGATGAGGTGCAGATCTCGCAGCTCTGTCAATTGCTTCAAAGAATCCACGAGAGTATCCAGATCATCTCGAAACATGCCATCGGTATCGCCACTCAGGAAGAGCACCCTCAAAGAAGACTGCTGGTGTACGAGAGCCTGATGGAACGTCTTGTGATCTTTTAGCGTGTACGAGTCTATCTCTAGGCTGCTGAGGTGTATCTTCTCTTCGAGCAGTACGGGCGTGATGAGTGCGGCTCCGGATTGCATTTTCGAGAAGCTGAGGCGTTGTAGATCTGAACATTTGCGTAACCAGGCAGTCGTCTCGAGAAAGACGTCATGTTCTGTCGCTTCCAAGTCTACAGTACCATGGATGTCCTCAATGCGTAGCGTTCTTAAAGCCGTACACCCTTGTAGTAGCGAGAGGTGCGGTAATGACTCGTTCGAAACGCACAGTCTCAGATCTTCTAATGAGTTTCCATGGTGATTAAGAGCTAGTAGTGACTCGGCGCCGGCCTTGACGTCGCTGATGGTTTGGAGTGTTTGGAGCGTGTTCGGTCGCATTGAGGAGAGGAATTTGGCGAACTTGTGATCATTGTCTTCTGAGACCCAGGTATAGATCATAAGAGATTTGAACTGCGGACAGTGGTCGTAGATAGATGCATGAACCAGTTCGTCTTCTAGAGGCTTTCCGTCCCACAGCTCAAGGCTCTGTAGTCGAGGAAGCCGGGGCGTCCATCGTACCAGAGCACCAGGCTGGACTAGTATAGTTAGCTCATATCCGAATGTTGAGAAGAAGGATGTACTTACGCTCACCGCTGATGATCTCCAGGGTTGGAGTATGCTGTGTGACCACTGCACCACATCAGTATTGTACTGAACAGCTTCGCGCATTTATCAAACCTTCACCAATCGCGTCGATGATATCCGCTGTCTTTATCCGAGTATACTTTCTGCCTTTGATGTTCGTCCCTGTCTCAGTCTTCTCGAACTGCTTCAACGGCCCGGAGAAGAATTGCCTATATTACAATCAGAGTTGGTGGTGTCTGACATCGAAGCTGTACTGACTTGGAAACTTTCGCACGGAATTGGTCGTCATCGAGGAGATATCCCAGATCCCGAAAGTCTAGCGATTTGATATAACGGCAGTATGGGAACAGTGTGACATCGAGTGCAGATGCGACAATTGATCGCCAAAGAATGGACCTAAATATGGGTGTACGGAGTCAATGTTTGCCTCATACAGTTCGCACGATAAAGGTTGCGTACCATTTTTGGATCGTGAGAAGCTTGGTGGCAGCTGGTAAGCCATAGAGATCTTCTCCTCCACCTCGAACAGGAGCGAGATGATGAGATCTAACGATTGTGTCAGTTAATTGACGATAAAGTAGCGAGGCCACTGCGACATACTTGTACAGATGAGTTAATGCAGGTACGGCGAGAGCACGGCTGGCGCAAGCACAGTTGAAGAGTGTGTCGAACTGTTCTTGATTCGCAAGCTCTTCGCATAGGAGATGCAGAATATCATCAGGCAGCGCTGACTGAGTCATTTTGTTTGCACTAACGAGGGCTGATATCGTGCTCCTAAGAAAGGTGAATAGATGGGCGCCCATGAGAGTAGGCGCGATGATGTCAATGCGCTAGCGCGTGTTTGACGCGCTCTTCCCGCTTTCGGTCGCCGGGGCTCGTCGCGATTCCACCCAAACATCCTGCGACAATGCGAGCAGTCGCACGAAGACAAAATGGTTGTCCTCAACTTCACCCTGACGCCCGAGGCAGCGTCTAAGGTTCACGATCTGCTTGTTTGCCTCGGCAAGTTCAGCGAGACTGTAGCCATTGAAGCGCGTCGCGAAAAGGTAGGTTTGCCGCTCTTCCTTCTAGTCAGTCCGGCATCTCATACCTCCTGCGTCAGTTCACGTTTACCGCTCTCAACTCTTCCAAATCCGCATACGCCGCCATAACATTAGACGGTCGACAATTTTTCGCCAGCTATGAATGTGTGCCGACTTATGGCGGTCCTGACGGCCGCTTCACGTGCAGTATGTACACCAAAGCGCTCTTGTCGGTCTTCAAAAGTCGCTTGTACGACCCGCTAGGGCGTGATGGTGCGATCGATCGCTGTGAAGTCAGCGTGCAAGAGCGAGAAACTGAGGCGCAATGTCGATTCATCGTCAAGATGATCTGCAACCAGGGCGTCATCAAGACCTACAAGCTCACATATGAAGCCGTGGACGTCATGCATGCACTGTTCGATCGCAACGCGGCGAAAAACAGGTGGAGCATGCACTCCGGGGCTGTGAAGGAGTACGCTGAATACTTCGGTACCAAGACCGAAATGCTCGATATCTTTGCGAGTGAAGACGGACGCTGCGTATTTAAGAGCTACACAGAAAAGATCTCGAACGGAAAGGAAATCCTGAAGCATCCACTTGTCACGGCCGTCGCGGTCAATACGTCTGACTTCGAGGAATTTACTGTGCAGGCGGGTATGCACATCATCATCAACGTCAAGGATTTCAAGGCAATAGTCGTCCATGCAGACACAATGAAGACAAGCTTAAAGGCCTTTTACTCCCAGCCAGCGCGACCACTCCAGTTCAGCTATGGAAGCGATGGGCTGCTCTGTGAGTTTACGCTAATGACTTCTGGCAACCACACCGCCGCTCCATCTGCGCCAACACCTGCGACGCACGCAATGAGCAGCAGACAAACCTCTCGCACGACCTCAACCACAACTGCGGAGCGTGGACAGAGTCGCAGCTTCCGATCTAATATGCCACCGCCTGTGCAACCAGCATCGCGACGCGATGCCTCTGGCCGAGTGCGGAATCCAGGATCTCGTCAAGTCTCGGCACTGCAAGCACAACCTGCCCGTGACGATTCGGAAAGCCTCTTCGTACCGGAGGATGAGGACGCAGCCTGGGCGCCGGTAGACTATGATAAGGAAGAGACTCTGGGATGGGACGCGAATGCCAACAACGATGCTGCAGCTTTTCCAACATTCACGGACAGTGGTGGTGTGTCGAAGACGAACACGGCGGACAGCAACGAAGTGTTTGAGCCTACGCAACGTGTATCGCAGATCAAGGGACTGTGGTAGTCGCCTGACACTGACGACTGCATATTGCACAAGGTGGGCTATTCAAGGCCCAAAGCAAATTCCGGCTGTCGCAATGGATACACATTCGCATCTACAATGCCAGCGGCTTATCAGATCTTATGCATCGTCTCAACTAGTGTGTCTCCTGTCTTTCCGCAAGATCATGGAGGCTATCAACTCTGAGACTTGTGGCAAGGTTGCAATGGAGCCGTTAAGATTAAACTGCCGGAAGTGTGGTACTCCGAGGGAGGAAATGTTTGTTAACCTTCGCGCACACATTGCAGCATTATTGCTGTTTCACACATAGTGTCACAAATGAGAGAAGTCGCAAGTATAATGTACTAGTTCACTAGACTGGTCGATTGAACGGGACGCTGAACATCCTGAAGAACACGTGCATGAACTACAGCTATCCAACTGCATCATACACAGATGTGTAGTACGTTTTAGAAGAGGCAAAGAAGAAAGATGCATCGAAATGGTTTCCTCTGTTGCGCGATAAGGCACATGGTATTCTTGGGGTTCGTGATGGCGATGGTGGCTTGATACCTGCGGGTCGGCGTGGCCGGTCCATGAGATGCTTGCTTGTTTATAGAAGCGACTCAATGTGCTCAGACTTTTACGTTACTGAAGATGCCTGGCAAGGCTTCTTCTGCTTACGCTGTTCTACCGAATTGTCAATATTAAGAAATGGATTCCTTCAAAGCTGACCTAGGTATAATTGATAGAACACTGGATATCATCCAGGATGTCAAAGGCAGCACGCGCACAGGTGTACGAATTTGTGCAACCTTCCACAGCGTCGGCTGCGCAGCTTCCACGGCCTGCGACAGCATCAAAGGTGCGAGTCGATGACGTGGATCTCGCGTACGCGTATTCGCGGATGGTGGGGCTCCAGGGTTGTCTAGAGAAAACGATGTAGGGGATCTTACTACATGTTATATCCAGACCATAGTGAAACAACGCCTGCATACTCTTCTCGATCGACAATGGCACCCAGACGCATTCTAGTAATCGCTGGATCGGACAGTTCGGGTGGGGCGTACGTACGCGTGCATGCATCCGCCCTTCATCAGCCACACACCACTAACCATGCTGCCGCGCCAACAGCGGACTAGAAGCAGATCAGAAGGTCATTGCAGCGCATAGCTGCTATGCTATGACGGCTACGACTGCTTTGACAGCCCAGAATACTCTAGGCGTCCAGGACATACACCATACCCCGCCGGACT